TGCCGCTTCTCACATACGGGACCTTGGGCCAGAGGGCTGATCGCTGTGAGCTTCAGCTTCTTCTTCTTCTTCTTTTTTTTTTTTTTTTTTTAAGATTTTTTATTTATTTATTCGACACACGGAGATCACAAGTAGGCAGAGAAGCAGACAGAGAGAGAGGAGGAAGCAGGCTCCCTGCTGCGCAGAGAGCCCAATGTGGGGCTCGATCCAGGACCCTGGAATCATGACCTGAGCTGAAGGCAGAGGCTTTAACCCACTGAGCCACCCAGGCGCCCCGAGCTTCAGCTTCTTAATGGGTCAAATAAGTAACCTTGTCCTTCTGTGTTGGGGCCACGTGCCCCAGCCATCACCTGGAGATTCTTCCCAGGGCACCCCCTTAACTTCATTATCATTTAAAATGGAATTTCTGGTAAATTTCTGCAAATGAGGTATTCAACTCCAAATTATGTTCATTTTAAGCAAAACATGTGGCCTTTGGAGAATTTGGGGTGTGTGCAAGCTGCCAGGCTGCTCCACCAGCCCCTCTTGCCAGCTGCGTCTTTAGCTCTTCTGCTGTTAAGGGTTCGACCACGAGCAGCACTCATGCACCGGCTTCTTAAGGCCGTTCTCAGCACGTGGTGTGTATCTCATTTAGCCAGAACATAACAACAAATTACCGTGATTTCACAGAGCAGAGATCTGATTCAGAGAGGCTGAGTAACTTGTTTGAGGTCATGTGCTTGCTAGAAGAAGGAACCAAGCCTCACACCAGAGTCTGTCTGACACTAGAATCCTCGCCTGCTCACCATTGTAGAAAGCTCTAGAAGCTATTGTTCTGTCCCTGAGTTCCCCTAAGCAGCACACGACAGGGACATTAGCTCACTGATGTATACTCCTCAGGGTCCCAACATCAACCAGAGAAGGGCCTCCTGGCCCAAGGTCCAAGAAGGTGAAACCAGACCCTCAACTCCCTCTCGCCTCAGGGGACTGCCAGCCAGTGACCCACAGGACTTGAGCAGGACTTCTGGCTCACCTTTGGAAGGTACAGCCCAGGCAGGACTTCCTAGTACCAGATGAATTCCTTGGCTGTTTCAGTTCTCCCTTCCTGGAACTTCTCCGAATTTACTGAGGGCACAGGGGTCATAAACACATCTTTTCTAACCACCTCCTCTCCTACGCCAGGGCTGGGAACGGGGATCTAGCCTTCCTCTCACTGAATCATGGGTGCAGGGTATAGTAGGGGACGCAGTGTCCCATCCCTACCGGAGGAAAACTAAGGTCCAGAGAGGGGATAGGACTCACCCAAGGTCACACACTAAGGGGCACCAAAGCCCTTGCCTGGTTCCTACCTATTGCTCACTGCCTTGGGCTCCTCAGGGGAATGCTGACATCCTCTGTGGACCCTGGTGGGAACAGGCCTCCCACACACACCTGGCCCAGTTCTGTGTGTGCTAGAGCTTAGACACACAGTGGAGAAGATGGACTATGGGGAGGTAGCTGGTAGCTGATGCTTGGTTCCCTCCAGGAGCAGATATACTTCCCAGCTCTGGGGAGCTGGTTTCCTGGGGGACCCCCAGTGGTGGTCTCACACTGGCTGGGGTACACAGGGATGGATGACTGTTTTCCAGATCTTCCTATTGTTCTTTTTAGTTACTAAGCAACTAACTAGAGTCTACATGCTCAGAAGAGAGAAAGCAGGCTAGACCCTGAATAGTGCCCGAAGGGGCTTAGTCCCCAGGGTGGGGCCTGCTGAGATATCTGGGGCTACAAGGGTCACCCATGAGAAGTGGGTAAGCAGGGACTCTGGGACAGTGGGACAGATCGGGGGTTACTGTGCATGGCATCACCCACCTGCACACCCTCCAAGAGTCCCCGGGATAGCCTGGGTTTGAGAGGCAAAGGAGGAAGGATTATAAGCTGCTTCATTCTGGGGCCTTGGGGCAGGTACTACCCCTCCTTAGGGCCTCAAGTTTCCCCTGTATAAGATGGGTGTATGTCTCTTGCCAGCTTGGTGGACACAGTGAAGCCAGTATGAGTACACAGGTGGGCTGTGAAGACTTGGGCCACATGAAAGTTTAGCACCATGGTGACACTGGGTCACTCCCAGGATGGCCAGGGCCCACAGTGCTGGGCCAGCACCCATCGCAGTCTCTTCTAGGCTGCCCTGGAAGGCCAGCAGAGCCCAGGAGGGGTGGGCATAAAAGATGTCCTTTCTGCTGTCCTACAAGAGAGGCTGCCTGCCATAATCAGCCATTAGCCCCCGTCCCCTGGGTCCCTGCCCTTCCATGACACTCTGTAGATGGTTCTGTTGCCCACAGCTCCCTTGGTCACTCCCGGTCCAGCTATAATGCTCTCCTCACAGTCGCTCATGTATGGGGGTTCCCCTCATTGACCCTCTATTCTAGAAGCTTCTCCTTTCTAAGAGGCTTGGGATGCTTCCCCCCCCCCCACCCCCACGCAATTGGCAGCAGAAAAGAGGAACTCTACCAGTTACCAGCACTGGACTCAGCTCTCCAGGTCCCCGGGGATGGGCCACAGACACAGGCAGCACGGAAACCCAGCGGAAACCCCACTTCTCAGGGGCCTCTGCTGGCAAGGATCCCAGGCTAGGGTTTCTCAACCTCTCAGCACTGGGGTTGCACTTCTGCAATGGGAAATTATGCTCCCATTTTCTTTTCTAAAGGGAAAAGGGAAGAAAGCAGTGACATGGAGGCATGACGTGATGCATCAGAGCCCGGCAGCAGAGCTGTAACCGCCAGCCCCAGACCCAACTCGGCTCAGCCCCACATGCTCCTGAGAGCTCACAGCTGCAATGTCAGACTTAGAGGGGCCCCTGGCAGTAAGGTAGGTGAAGGTCAGGGGGACTGGAGCCACAGCCAGGGGAGAGGGTCTGGTGGGACCGGGAGCAGGAGCCCTGCTGGCTCCTCGTCAGGTGCCTCTCAGAGTGTCTCATCCTACTGTTTCATCCAAGAGACGGCACTGGTAGGGTGGCTTTCTGCTTCCCTAGAAAAACTGGGGGGTCCTAGAGACATGAAAGGGCCTCATCAGGGCTCTGTCCTGGCGGAGGATTTCTGTCAGCTCTGGAGCGCTCAGTGGAGCAGCGAGTCACGTCTCACGAGCAGTGGTGAATTTTAATTTCTGGGGGATTCTCTCAGGATCCCCGTGCCATGGGATCTGGTCCTGGAAGGGAACTCTGAGTTTCTGGCCAGGCCTGAGGACGTGGGTACCCTTTTCGGCTGTCCTGGGCCCAGCTTACCTTCTGAACATCCGGAGGAGGTTTCCTGCAGGCGGGGTCCTGGGATATGGATGGAGACATGTGTATGTCTGTGCTTTAGGGAAGAGGGAGGGTCCTGAGGAGCCTGACCCCTGACTATCAAAGTGCAAGATCCTCGCCGTTTGCCTGCTTCACCCAGAAGGTAGAAGTGTCCAAGGATCTGGGACTGAGACTACCTGTGACAGGTTTCTAGTCCCACAGCCCTTGAGGACCAGGCTTTCGTTTACAGTATACCAAAACCTGATTTCACAGGATTCTCATGTGTGTGTGTGTGTGTGTGTGTGTGTGTGTGTGCGTGTGTGCGTGCGTGCGTGCACCTCCACATTTAGCCATTTAGCAAATGTGCCCCCAGACAGATGTTGTGGTCGGGCCTGGTGAGCACAGGGCAGTGGGACACAGGCCAGCAGCTCAGACCACAGCCTGCCCCCGGGGGGCCTCAGGAACCGCAGGAGGAGCAGAGTTCAGGGAAGACAAGACAAGGACCCACATGACTCTGGTGTGGAATGAGAAGACGGGCTGAATGGGGGTCTCTGGAGGGGGGTGCAGGGCAGAAAGAGGAAAAGAGCTTCATAGAAGAGGCCACCTTTGAACTAGGACTTTAAAGATGAGTGGTATTTGGGTAGAGTTTGGGACGGAAGATGACCTGTAGCAGAGAAAATACTGTAGGCTGAAGCCTGGAGCCGGGAAAGTGTAGGATTAGTTATTCAAACCCACTCATCCTTCAGTTCCCAGTGCAGGCAGTGGCAGGCTTTGCACCATATGGCATTGGTGGCTGTGCTAGAGAGTTTAGATTCCTCAAATCCATGTGGGAGCAAAGCCGACTGTTGGAAGTAGCTTTATTGCATATGTGCCAGTGAGATTCTAAAGAACAGATTACCAGAGGTGGAGTGGCTGGGACAAAGGAGGTGCACACTTCTCACTGTGGCAGAGAGTGCACTTGGCCTCTGTGTTACTGTGTTACTCGGCCTCTGCAGAGTTCCTGTCAGTTCTTGAGTGAGATCTCTCCATGCTCTCCACCTTCTTCCTCAGGATCTGCCTTCTGCCCACATAATAAGACATTCATGCCCAAAACGTGCTTGGCATGGTGCCAGGTCCATGGAAGCCCTTGGAACATGTTAGCTGTTTTTATATTTTCTCTGGGTCTCCAGGCAGCCTTTCTGGTCCCCCAGGAGCCAGCTGGGCTTCCCGATTCTGTGTCTGTCCACAATTCCTGCTGCTAGAAGCATCTGTCTCCTCCGTCAGCTGGGTGTTCTGGAGATCAGCAGTTTCTCCTGTTGCCTGTGCTCATTCCCAGCAGCTGGTCAGTGCCTGGCTCAGGCAAGGGCTCAGCAAGGGTGTTTTGGGGGACTGTTGGATACAAGGAAGGTGTGTCCTGTCTGCCTGTCCTTCTCTTCCATGAAACAGAGCAAGATTGTCTCCAAATGACAGTAGGCCACCAAAACCACACCATGCAAGCTGAAATGCCTTATACCTCACAAAGATAAGGATAGGCATCCTTATATTACAGAAAAGAAAGGTAAAGCTCAGAGTGGATGAGTGGTTGAGTCCTACTCCCAGAGCGTGCTGGAGGTGAAGCTGAGGCTAGACCCAGCACCAACTCTAGTCTTGGCACCATCCTGGTTTGGACGGAATCACCATATCCACACTCAGGGCTCTGCTGTGTTTGGCTGGAGCTGATTCAGGGGCCCTGAGGTGGGTAAGCAAGTCTAGGCTCCAACCACATTTTTCTCTGTTCCCTCCTTCCCAGCCTCCCGTCCATGGAGCGAGTCCTCACCGTCCTGCATGTGAGCCTGTACCATCCCGAGCGGGACCCGGCCATCTTTGCCAAGGTCCCACCACAGCTGCAGCATGGTACCAGCCCGCTGCTGGTGGGGCGGGCCCCGGAAGCCCACCTCCAGCTGCAGCTCCCCCACCTCTCCCGCCGACACCTGTCCCTGGAGCCCTACCGGGAGAAGGGCAGCGCTGTGCTGACCTTCTGCCTGAAGGCCCTGAGCCGCAGGGGCTGTGTGTGGGTCAACGGGTTGACTTTGAGGTTCCTGGAGCAGCTTCCTCTGAGCCCAGTCAACAGGGTCGCCTTCTCCGGCATCCAGGTGGTGGTCCGCATAGAAGGGGGCACCTCGCTGGAGGGCTTCGTCTGCTGCTTCCATCTCAGCCCCTCACCCCTGATTCACAGGCCACAGGCTGAGGAGACTGATGAATGGGAGAGCACCTCCCAGGGGCAGCCTCCCCCAGGTTCTGGGCCACGGGCACCAGGTCACCAGGGGCTTCTCCATTGCCCTTCCCTGCCTAGCCCTGGAGGAGGAGCAGAAACACAGCTCCAGAAGGAGATCTCAGATAGTATGTTGTGCTAGCCCCACTGGCTGCCCAGAGCAAGCCTCGCCTGTATGAGAACTTGAACTCTTGGAGGGACACCACGCAGAGGTTGACCAGCAAGACCTGCCGGGTAACAATGAACTGATTCTGCAAATATGCACAGCCTGGGGAGGGGGTTGGGGGGGGGCCGCGGCACACCCTCCGTGCTTACAGCTCTGCAAGGTAATGGGAGCTTCCTATACTTTTAGAGGCCCTGAGGGGTTCGGAGAGCCTCTCTCAAGCCTTTCCCCACCTTTCCCTCCTCTTGTCTGCCTAGGAGTTACTTTATGTTGCTAATTTCGTGTGTTGCTTAAGAGCTGGAGTTTGAGGTTGCGCCAGGAATGCATGGACACATGTAACAATTACGTTTGTGGTAGCTCGGGGTTACCTTGGGCTTTCAAATACCCACAGGCACTCCGGGCTTAGGGAAGCCTGTGTTTAATAAACTGCAAGTATTTCATTAAACTGGCATACCAATAGGATCCCCTGACCCCCAGATGGGCTGCATGCTCGCCGTGTTGTCACGCAGAGGCGGGGGTGGGAAGTAGAGAAGAGGTGTAAGAGGAAATTGGAAAGGTGGGGGCTCACATTTCTGGAAAGGATGCGGGCAGAGCTCAGGGTTTCCCTGCATGGTGGGGAGCTGGGGGCTGAGCCTGCCTGGAAATTCAATGTCCCAGTCATCCTCAGGCTCCCTCCCTGTGTCATTTCTGGATCAAAACCTTGGCTGATCAGAGGGCAAGGTCTTCAGGGAAAGGTAGCTTCCCAGAGCAATGGGCTCTTTCAGAGGGTGGGGAGGGAGGTTGTGGTAGAATTCAACTCAGCCGTTTGACTCAAAATGGCCATTAGGGGTGGGGTTGTCTTTCAAAAATAGGGGACAAGTAGTGAGCCAGGCGGACCAAGGGTGGGACAGCTTTCTCAGTGAACAGGGGAGCTGAACACAGGCACTCACTCTTCATGTCATTCTAGTGGCAGTGGGGGATTGGAAGTGTCATTTAAGAACAGCATTCACCTGTGTAAGGAAGTGAGGGACGTACAAACCCGGGGGGTCGTCATCATCCTAGATCCTGCTCTAGGATATCTGAGACACTGAGGCCATGGGGCTGCCTACAGGCTGGCTCACATCCTCTGGCCTCTAACCACCTCCAACAAGTATTTCAACACTCTCTACTTCCCACCCATGAAGAAAAACCCATTTGCACCCAAGGCAGCCTACAGGGACATTCAGCTGCCCTGCCCATTCCTCCCTGAGCATCGCCTCCCGGGGGAAGATAGCAGTGGGCAGGACCCTGGCCTGTTCTGGCTGGGGAAGCTTCCCTTTTAATAGGGAATAAGGCAAGGACCCCGAGGTTACAGGTACAAGGCACAGGAGGGCAAGGGCTATAAGGAGAAGGGGCTGTCCAATACAATGAATGGCCCCTCAGGTCCCCCAAGCAGTCCTTCACTCAGTCATTCAACAAACTTTCACCAGATGCTATGCAAAGCCCCAGGAACCCCCAGTGAACTAGTCAGGCAAAGGCCTTGCCCTCAGAGAGTTTATGTGGGCTCACGAAAGACACCTGTGGAGGAGCTAATCACTTCATTACTTGATCACCACTATTACTGGTGCTGTAAATGCTGTGTTTTCTCTGTCTTCAAGCTGGAGTTAACATTCACAGTACCATTAAGTGGCCATGTCTGATGAGTGCTTACTGTGTGCTCAGCGCTCTGCCAGGTGCCACGTGACTTGCTCGGCTGAATCCTCAAAACACCCAGACAGATCATGGTATTAACACATTGTATTGATGAGGAAATCAAGACTTAGAAAGGGCATCTTGTGTGGCATATATGAACAATGGAATAGTATGCAGCCACCAAAAAGATGAAATCTTGCCATTTGCAACAATGTGGATGGAACTAGAGCATATTATGCTAAGCAAAATAAGACAATCAGAGAAAGACAATTATCATATGATCTTTCTGATATGAGGAATTTGAGAGGCAGGGCGGGGGAGTCATTGGAGGCAAGGAGGGAAAAAGTAAAACAAGATGGGATCAGGAGGGAGACAAACCATAAGACACTCTTAATCTCAGGAAACAAACTGAGGGTTGCTGGGGTGGGGGTGGAAGGGGAGGGAGATGGTGGCTGGGTTATGGACATTGGGGAGGGTATGTGCTATGTTGAGTGCTGTGAAATGTGTAAGCCTGATGATTCACAGACCTGTACCCCTGGGGCAAATAATACATTATATATTAATTAAAAAAAAAAAAGGGCATCTTGCCCAATATCACGTCACTCACTAGCTGAGTGATCTTGGGCAAATGACTTAGTCTTCTCTTGCCTCCCTTTCTCCCTCTGGAATGTGGGTAAGATAATAGTACCCATCCACCAGGGATGTTATGACAGTCTTAGGAGGGGGCGGGTGTAAAGCTCATAGGGAACGATTTGTCATACGGTAGGCACTCAGTACAGGTTAGATATCTACTGTTGTGAGATCAGAGAGATGGTACATAATAGGTCCATATCCAGGGGCTCACCTGGGATGCATATATGGAGCTAGAGAAGTCTGGAAGCCTGACAGACTGGCTGCAGAGCCCAAGAGCTCTTCTGCACTCTGTGATCACCTGATAAAGGATTTTGTCTTTGCCAGAGACCTGCTGGGCAGTCAGGGGCAGGCTTTAACCTGTTGCTTGCGCCAGAAGGCCCAGTATTCAGAGTCAGTAGGATGGGAGACACCCTGCGAGGGCTGGCAATCAGAAGAAGCCCACTGTTTTGGAACAGCCTTTATATTTCACACACAGATTCTAAATGCAGCGATGATCTCTCCAGAGAGCAGAATGTTCCCCCAACTATGCTAGGGAGCAGGAGTGCACCTACAGAACTGGGAAGCCACATCCTGGAGACTGCACCTGGTCTTTGAACATGGAACAGAGGAAGCCCTCTGGGGCCATGCACCCAAGAGTCACAGGGGGCAGCTCCTCGCCTCCACCAGGGAACTTCTGTCACTGAGAGGGGTCCTCTCCCTTCCAGGAAGCAGCAAACCCTCCCAGCTGGGGGTCTCCAAGGGGAAATGAGCTGCCTCCTGATGAGGAATCTGAGATTCCGAGTCGGGCATCTGGGGGTCCCTCCGGGAACACACAATGAATCACAGGGTAGGTTAAAGGACACATGCCAGAGACAGGGCTGGAGGGAGCCAGACTCTCTTAATTCACAAACTCTCCTTGCAAAACTCCTTGCTTGCCTCGCAAGCAGGGAAGCTCTGCTCCAGGCTAGATCTCATTATTCTTGAATAGAGAATCATCCCTGAACCCACTCCCATTGTCATGCCTGATACCTCTCTCCTTGGCCTGCAAAGACAGCTCGAGCAGACTGGAGGGAAACTGACAATGACATCCTCTGCATTCTCTCGCTTCCACACACAGGGCAGTGCACGTGTGAGGGCAGGCGAGGGGGTTCGTGTGCACGCCTGCACTGACATGAGCTGTCTGTGCCCACTGGGGTGGCTCCCGGCCAGGGCTCTGCAAGCACTGGGCTACCTGGGTTGGAATTCCTGCTCAACTGTGTACTCATTCTGTGATCTTGGATGAGTGAATTTCCCTGTTCCTCAGTTGCTTCTGGAAACCGTGAAAGGTAATGGCTGGCCATGGTGATAAAATGAAACCCCTCGTATAAAGCACCTAGGACAGCGCCTGGCACATAGTAAGTGCTCCATCGAGTTTGTTTCATTGTCAAGTTCAAGGGAATGAATTGAACGCAGGCAGGCACATCGTCTCAGCTTACACACACACACACACACACACACACACACACACACACCCGCTCTGCAGAGCTACACCAGTTCCCCTCAGACACCCCCCAGAGCACTGCAATTCTCTGAGACCACGTCTGGAAATGCAGAAATCATCCCCTGTGCCTTTTAAGGCATTTCAACCCTACCAGTCCTCTGCTTTTGCAAGAATAGGAGTCTTCCAACCTGTCTGCGAGACACTGCATCCCCTCCAGCCCCATTTCGAGGGAGACCGAATGCTGCAACCGTTGTTTTTGTGTCTGTCGCCCTGTGAGGCTTCGGGCTCTGCACAGATAGGGACCACGGGTTGTCTGTGGCTGGGTTCCTGGTGGCCATCAGGGAGCTGGCCAGAGAATGGATGGACAGACAGACGGGCGAGGAAGCAGTCACCTCGGCTGTGTGAAGGCATGAGCCAGGCAGGCGAGGGCATGGCCGAGGCTTGTAGTGATGGGATCGGAGACGGGTCGGCCAGCTGGGACAGCAAGCCCTCAAAGCCGTGGGCAGACAGTAAGTCTCTGGCTGCTCTTGGCCCCAGTGAAGAGAGCCCAGATCCTCTAGCTGGGATAGAAGGTGACCGGTGCCTCTCCCTGGTGCTGGGGCTTCTGCAGCCCAAACCAACCAGGAATCTGGGTTTTCGGAATTCTGTCCAACAACCGCTGCAGGAGGTTGACAGATCTGACAGGTCCCCCAGTCACTGAGGATAGCTCTCGGGCAGCACTTCCTGTCCCAAGAAGAGGCACAGAGACACCCCCCAGGAGACCCCAGAAGGGGCTCCAAGCCCAAACAGTCACGAGTTGGGCTGGCAGGATTGAGTCAGGGCCCTGGAGGCTCACCACATCTCCATAGGATTTGGCCTGACCCTTCTGCCCCAGCCCCATACAATGGAGGCCACCCTCCACAGAACCTCCTCCCCCAAACACACACACGGAACAAGCTGCCTCCCTAAGCCCACACCCTGCCTGCCTGCCTGCTCAGACCAGAGCTGTCCCATAAAGAGATACCCTCTGGTACAGGAAGCTAAGACATCACACTGCCAGGGGCATCCGCGTTTACAAAGGACTGGAGAGGGTGATGTCTGCTCTGAAGGAGTGGGTTTGGTTGTAGAAAGAGGGGCATTAAAGGTTTCACAGGAGGCCAGTAAAGGAAACATTTCCCTTTCCCCTCAAATGGACAGTCACTTCATCAAAGTATAAAGCAGGATGCAGTCGAAGGGCTGGCCCAAGGTCTGTCTGTGACTGACTAGAGCTGAGACCGGATTTTAACAGAGCAAAGAACAGACTCTCTCCCTAACAGCCCACCAAGCGGCCAGGCTGCTGTCAGCAAAGATATGTGCAGAAGCAAGTTAGCCCCATGTGGTGTGGACCATTCATCGCCTCCTCCAGGACTCCCCTACACCCCCACACTGGGCTGTGCGGGGCGGGGGTTGGGGGATGCCCCACTTCCCACTGTATCTTCTGTGTGAGCTCAGTTCTTCCCTCTCAGCTTCCAGCCCCTGATAGCTGGTGGTGGGGATGTTGCCGTCAGGTCACCTGGTCCCCAAACCGGACCCTCCAGCTTTCTGTCACTGTGGCAGCCCTGCCCACCTCCTGGGGTTTGGGTTGCTGGCCGGCACGCCAGGTCCGAACCCGTGTAAGCCTTCAGGAGAGCAGCAAACAGACCGAGCTCCTCCGCCTCTAAGAAGAGATGCCAAGTTAATGAACTCTATTCACACTGCATGGCTGTGATCCCTTTTACCTTGAACATGAACTCACAGGCGGATTAAACTGAACTAAAACCTGCCATTTGAGTTACATTCTCAGCTGATTGGAAACATGCATTACCTCCCCATGACCGGGCTGCGAGAAGGGAAGTTAGTATTTTTCTTTAGAGTTTGTAAACTCTTTATGGCTGAGGCAGCTTTAATCCTGCTGGGGGAAAAAAAATGATCCGGGAATAAATTGCTCTCATTTACCTTTGTTTTCCAATCACACGCTCCAGTGGGAACGAAACATCCTAAGTGAAGGGATGTGGGAAGCCAGGTGATCCCCGACAGAAGAGTTTAATTACTTTCTTCTCTAAGCACGTGAGCTGAAAAGGCTTTTAAGTGCCGTTTGGCACGGGGTTTGCTCCACAAAAATGTGCACTCCTCGGATGATGCCAGCTCTCCCCGAGCTCCTACTATTTTCCGCCTCTTCTTTCCAGGGGCAGGTAGCCTCCTTCTCACCACCATGCCCGGCTCCAGACCTTTGGGAACCAGGAAGGAGTCTGAGAAAGGGCAGATTTGAATAAAAATCAAATCACACTCCTGGAAGGACGGAAAGACTCGTAGGGTCTGGAGTTCTGAAGGGGCCTTTCTTTCCTCCTCTGTGCTTTCTCTGATCCTCTGGGTTAGCTAACAGAGAAATTACACAGAGCAGGTACCGAGCAAAACCATCATGACGCCCAGGCTCGGAGCCAAGCATTCTAACTGCTGGAAGGAGCCCCAGCTGAGACATCTGCCTCGTTTGCCTTTAAAGATACATAGGAGGGGGTAGGGGTGGGGGATCTTCCCAATAAAGCAGAGACAGGGGCCTTCCAAGGGAGAGCTCTGTCAGGCAGCCAGCCATGGGGTTTCCATAATTGCTTCTCTGAGGGATCAGGACACCATGATATCATTCTTCCATTCATCTGCAGTTTGCTGCACGTGGGCTGAGAAGATGGACCCTATTAGGTTGCCCTGCTTGAGGGAAGGGACGGTGGGGGAGGAAGACGGTGCATATCAGGATCCAATCAAGAAAACAAAAACGACTCTAAGTATTTTTAAAATGTGACTCAGGGTATGGGGTACACAGGCGATGTATCTCAGAAATCAGCCAAGACAGGAGTTGCTTCCATGGCTCCCTCCCACTCCTTGGGCTACAGAGGTGACTGAGAGGTGGTATTGCCAGAGCCAGAGTGGGCATTGCCCGGCACAGAGCTAGAGCGACTGTGAATTTTCTCTGCAGAAGCTGGGACCTCAGAGGCAGAGGCCACCCAGAGGGAGCTGGAGCCGATGAGGAGACACACCTGCTGCGAGATAATGTGCCCCTCTCCCAGGGCGAGGGGCTGAGAGAGAAGATGAAATGTTCTGGCTTCTCCCCTTGCCCCCTCCTTGT